GAATTACAGACTAAATAAAACAATGTGCACACATACACAGTCTGTCGCTCATATAATCATGTAACTGACATTACCATCACATTGTGTTCCATTGCCTACGAATCCTTGATTACATTTACAATCATATGATCCACGACTGTTTTCACAACGAGCATTAGGACTACATGGATATTTTTCACACTCATTGACATCTGAAATATAAAACACTTAATGTCACACACGGTAATAACAATAATAGACATTTTTAAGATATTTTTGGCTTAACTTTCTAAGTAATTAGTTACCTGCAGGGTATGGTTTAATTTTCAATTCGATACAAAGAAGTAACGCATTGTATATTTAGATTATGTAATCAGTGTACATAAGAGGAACTATCACTTTGATATGAGGCTGAATTCTGCATGTGCATCTATCTAATTGGCTAGTTTATACCCAAATGCATATTTTTTTTCCAACATATTTTATTACAACAACCCAATGTAAAATAATTGGAAAACCACTTAAAAGTATTATAAATAATGTCCAATTCCACTGGTGTAAAGATATAATGATTATTAAAAAATCCACCAAATAAAGTGTTGGCATCTACTAAAATAGTAAATAATTGTTAATGTTAGTTCACAGAAATAGATATTATCAACCAGAAAAAAGGAGTACCTTCACAAATGAATCCGTCACCAGTAAATCCAATGTCACAATTGCACCGATAAGATGAGAGAGTGTTTAAACATAGCGCATTCTCATCACATTTTGAGGATCCATCAGAGCATTCATTTCGATCTAATAAGTCAATGACAATATTCTTAAACACATAATTGAATCCATCAAAATGAAATAATTTTTCAAAAAGTCCCAAAACTTCAATGAAGAAATATTATGACAAAGATCAGACTAAAGAGCATTCCACTTAATTAAGTGAAGAATAAATCAATACTAATATTCCCAATATTTAATCAATAAAGAGCTCTATTCAATGAAAAAGTATCCTTACCTTCACATTCTTTACCATTGCCAGTAAATCCTTTTTTACATCTACAACTATAAGAACCAGGGGTTGTCACGCAATATGCATTAGGATGGCAATCGTGACTCCCATTGGCACATAAATCTAAGGGCTTGGTTGTTGTTACTAGAATGGATCCTGTGTATGCAGCAGTAGGTGTTGTTGTAGTCACTTCTGTTGTATGTACAGGCACTGCTGTACTTTTCTGTTCTATATTCGAAATGAGAAATWGATAATTTACAATAATAAAAATGGTACATGCCCCAATATCTTGAATCAATTAATTAGCTATAGAAGTTATGAAGTACTTAACTTAACATGCATGTCAGAAAGAATAAATATGCAGTTGATGGGGGGATGGCTAACTCAAGAAAAAAACATTCCATTAAAGAGTTAGGCTGCAGAAAATGAAATTTCCTTCTGGTGCATGCTGCTTTAGGGACTATGGTATAATTATCGTGCTGGCTAACAATTGAGAGTAGGGTGTTAAGTTTTGGGGAGCAGCAATGTCCAAGTTAATCAGAGAAGGCAAGGTGTACCATAACAATAAGAGGACCTTATAATTAATTCATTTAGAGATAAGCATTTTAACCTAGTACACTAAATATATTTTGTCCTAAAGCCAAATAATATTATGTACCAAAAAACCCTGCCTATATATCTTTAAGCTGCATTGTTACCAAGGTGGCTCCCTTGCATTTCTATTAGTTTTTGAAATAACTCTTGCCTAAATTGCTTTGTAATTCAGAGGAAAAGAGTCCTGACCTTGGCATTGAAATCCATCTCCAGTGTATCCATCATTGCAGCGACATGTATAAGATCCATCACTGTTGATACATTTAGCATGTAGAGAACATTGGGTCTTTCCTTCTGTGCACTCATTTATATCTAAGGCAAGTAAAACATAGAATCAATCTGATTTAGCAGGGAATATATCTATCTATATGTTAGTCTTCAAGCATACCATCACATGTCAGGCCATCTCCATCATATCCCTTCTTACAAACACAATCAGGAGTACTATCCATTTCTTCTTTGATACAGTTCGCATTTTCACTGCATTCTGGTTTACACTTCCCAACAGCTGAGACTAGAAAGGACATTTGTGTGCATGGGTGAAAATGTACACACATAAAAAAGACAAAATAACATTACAGAGACACATAGAACAAACAGATATATAAGAAATAACTTTAGTTTATACTGCATCTAACATTGCACAGCATTATTCCTGCTCTTTCAATTTCTGTATCATCATTAAAATAATAATAACACTTATGGAATAAAACTACAAAATAATTGTTCACTAACTTACTTTTACAGTTTTTATACCCATCCCCAACGTAACCAGAAATGCATTGACATTTATAAGAACCAATGGTATTGATACATTTGGCATCTTCATGACAATCATTGATGTTGCCTGAACATTCGTTAAAATCTGCAAAAAAGTTAAAAAAGGCATATTGCATAACATTCTTGAAGATTTTTCAACTTCTAATTTTCTAATTAACAAATATTAAAAAATGAGAAGTTTACCATCACACTGTGTTCCATTCCCTAMAAATCCTTCATTACAACTGCAAAAATAGGATCCAACAGAATTGATGCATATAGCATTTCGGCTACAGGGACTTTTATCAGCGCACTCATTGATATCTAATGAAAAACACTGAATATCAGACAATAAKACATTTATAAATAGCACATCTGCTAGAAGTAATCAAAACAGTACTAGACCAATAGTGTAAATTTGACAATAGGAAACAAAGAAATTAGAAGAATTCTGTTTAACGTTGCTTTTTTRAATTAATYTATTCCATTCCATTGGTTATSGCATAGCATATGCTCACACACATTTGTTGAGCTAAATCTTTTRACCCTAGGAAGAACCAGGCTTTCACATGAACAAAAAAGAGCACTTTAAAATGAAAAATCATACCTAAACAAGTCACCCCATCACCAGAATAACCAGATTGACAATGACAGCGATATGAACCAGCAGTGTTTTGACATAATGAATTTGTATCACAGTTATTGTTGCCTTCATAACACTCATCCATGTCTAGAGACAAAGTATAATATATTAGAAAGAAAAAAAAACAGCCAAAAAAACATGTAGAAAAACTACCTTGACACTGAATACCATCGCCCATAAATCCAGCTTTACATTGGCATTTAAATGAACCAGGAATACTCTCACATGTGGCATTAACATCACAGTTGTTCAGACCATTCACACAAAAATCAAATGTTGTTGCAGTGGTGACCTCAGGTGCTCTAGAAGTGACCACAGTTCCTGCAGCTTTACTGGTTACTGTGGTAGTGAGAGGAAAGAATTGTTATGCATGTTTGTATTTGATTTAGAAATAATAAATATACCAAATCAATTTAACAACTAAAACAGTTAAAAGCTTTCTATTAGACTACAAAAAAAAGTCTTTAACAAAAACACCTCAAAGTAACAATAAAGCTTATATATAAAAGTCTAAAAATCATATGAAAAATCAAAACCAGGAATTGATGTCATACTGTTTTTCACTAGCACTGTGGATGTTGTTACCAATGCCATTCTTTCAAAATGTCTAAACTTAGTAAAAWGGGTGTTAAAAAATACCTAATACTGTAGAAGAGACTGAGGTTGCTATATGGCGTACTACACTTGTTCCTTCTGGCACTACAGTTGTTAATTTTGGTRCCYCAGTTCTTCTTTCTGGTAATAAAGTTGTTCCTTCTGTTACAACAGTTTTTCCYTCTGGTACTACAAGTGTTCCCTCTGGTACTAAAGTTGTTCCCTCTTGTACTGCAGTTGTTCCTTCTGTAACTACAGTTGTTCCTTGTGGTAAAACAGTTGTTCCTTCTGCTACTGCAGTTGTTCCTTCTGTTACTGCAGTTGTTCCTTCTGTTTCTGCAGATGTTACTCTTGTTCCTACA